GCCTCCACTGACAGATGTGTGGAAGCTGCACGTGAAGGAGTGCATTGGCCTGGAATCGAACCAGGGTCCCCTGCATGGAAGGGGAGAATCCTACCTCTGAACCACCCACGACGCCCTGCACGACCGTGTGGCCAGAAGGGAGAAGAGAAGAGAGCAGGAACAAGAGGGGAAAAGCAAAGACAATCAATGAGACTTTGGGGCACCACTGGCGCCTGTCCAGCAAACCCTCTGTTGCTGTCATCTGTACACGTGACAGGTATGGAGTGGAGTATCAGAAACGTGGAAGGGTGGCTTTACTCACTATTTCGTGGGTGCCAGCGCACGGCATTTAGGTAGGAGTTGCAGTAATGGAAAAGGAACTCGTGATCCGACCGTTGGCTTTTCCCTTGGAGCAGTGGCATCAGGTCTCGTCCATCGATGATCCTGTGTGATAAACCAATAGGGCCATCAGGTGTGAGACAGCCCATCCCCCTTGGACTAAAACGCCCTGACTGCCAAATCGTCCTCCTAGCAACTGAGAGCACAGTACAGCTACATGAGTTGTCGTAGAGTAGCCAACACAAAGGACACGAGCCAACTCAATGGGGCGCAATGATCAATTAGGATCCCACCTCTGTTCACGTGTGAAATCATCGAACCCTCCAGACAGCACCGTGAGCAAGACTTCTTCTCATGCCCACTCACCAGGTGACAAAACTGAGGCCCAGGCAGTTGAAGGCACTAATGCAAGGTCACACGTCTAGGAAGAGTTGATGTGGTGCCCATTCCTCAATGGCTCTATCTGCTGCTTCTCTGAAACCCCGTTTTCTGCCTATTTCTTTGGAAAGAGCAGGCTTTACTTAAAAAGTATGAGTCTGCTGAAGAGAAGAGGGCCTGTCTGGTGGGTGGCCATGAGTCAGAATCAACTTGAAGCCAACAGCTTTGGATTTTTTGGTTTATAGCAAAGGGCAACTGGAATTGGCTGGACTTCAATAAAAGTGAATGTCTGTATCAGATTGCATTAATTTGTGAGTAACACTGATGATCATCTTTAATACGAGTTGGATGGACCGTTGCTCCATGAGCATACGCTGTCCTCTGTGAC